ATGTGAGGTGATTGAAAACACCATGGTTTGGGTCAGGCTCACCTAAGTCCTTAAAGTGACATCTTTGCTTTTTAACACTTTAAGATCTTTTGCAGCAGATTTACCTGATGCAGTGCGTCGTTTGATTTCTGGACTGCTGCTTCCATGGGCGTTGATTGTGGATCCAAGTAAAATGAAATCTGTGACAGCTTCAGTATTTTCTCTGTTTATCGTAATGTTGCTTACTGGTCTAGTTGTGAGGGTTTTTGTTTCCTTTATGTTGAGGCGTAATCCATACTGAAGGCTGTAGTCTTTGATCTTCATCAGTAAGTGTTTCAAGTCCTCTTCACTTTCACCAAGCAAGGTTGTGTCGTCTGCATATTGCAGGTTGTTAATGAGTCTTCCTCCAATCCTGATGCTGTGTTCTTTTCATATAGTCCAGCTTCTTGGATTATTTGCTCAGCATACGGATTGAATAAGTATGGTGAAAGGATACCCTGATGCACACCTTTTTTGATTTTAAACCACACAGTATCCCCTCATTCTGTTCCAACGACTGCCTCTTGGTCTATGTACAGGTTCCTCATGAGCACAATTAAGTGTTCTGGAATTCCCATTCTTTGCAATGTTATCCATGATTTGTTATGATCTACACATTCGAATGCCTTTGTGTAGTCAGTAAAACTCAGCTAACTATCTTTCTGGTATTCTCTGCTTTTACCCTTGATCCATCTGAAATCAGTAATGACATCCCTTGTTCCACGTCCTTTTCTGAATCCTGCTTGAATTTCTGGCAGTTCCCTGTAGATGTACTGCTGCAACCACTTTTGAATGATCTTCTGCAAAATTTGTAGGCGTATGGATATTATCCTATTACTGACAGTGTTATACTTCAGGATAGATCTTGAAATGTTCTTTTTGACAATGAATGCGATGCCATTCCTCTTCAATATGTCATTCTCAGCATGGTAGACCGGACGATTGTCCAATTCAGAATGGCCAGTACTAGTTCATTTCAGCTCACTAATGCCTATGATATCAATGTTTATGTACTCTAGTTTCATTTTTGATGTTTTCCAGTTTTCCTAGATTCATACTTCATACATTCTATGTTCCAGTTATTAAGGGATGTTTGCAGGAGTTTCTTCTCATTTTGAGTCATGCCATATCAGCAAATGAAGGTCCCGAAAGCTTTACTCCATCCATGTTATTAAAGCCACTCTACTTTGAGGAGGCAACTCTTCCCCAGTTGTATTTTGAGTGCCTTCCAACTTGAAGGGCTCATTTCCCGGCTCTATACCAGACAGTGTTCCACTGCTATTCCTGAGGTTTTCACTTGCCAGTTTTTTTTTTTTTAGAAGTAGATGGTCAAGTCCTTCTTCCTGTCTGTTTTAGTCTGGAAGCTCAGTTGAAACCTGTCTACCATCGGTAACCCTGCTGGTAATTGAAATACCAGTGGCACGGCTTCCAGCATCACAGCAACACGCAGACCACCACAGTACAACAAACTGACAAATGGGTGGTGGTTCTTTAGTGTATTCTGTACAAAATCTGTATAATGATAATTGGGAAATTATGTCAATAGCAAAGATAGTTAGAAATATCAAGAGGAGTATATATAATATCAGCAGTCATGTAGATTATTGAAATATTTTCTGATTTACCAGTGAATTTGAGAGCTACTGAATTTGGAACTACTTTTCTAAAAACCTAGTAATTTACTGGGTGTCACGAAGCAGGTAGTTTATTGAGAATAGCTGCTTAATAAATTTTATTAACTTTTAAAAATTACCTAGTGTGAAAGGATCCTCAGTAATTTTTGTTTGACAGTAGTTTCTGCCTTGCCTCTTTGCTGTTTTGGAAAATATTGTTTGGATTAGGATTATGAGCTATAGTATAATGTGTGCCATTCAAGGAAGATAGATAATCTGACCTTATTTAAATACAGCTTTGTCAAGTGACAGTTTCCTAAGGCATTAACCATTGGTAATTATTGAATTACTATATAAACCTTTAGTGACTCTATTAAAGTCTTATTTCCACATCTAATAATAATTAAATCCAATAACTTCCTTTTTATGTTAATATTCTGTTAATATATAATTAGTTTTCCCTCACACATATCCTTTAATGTACTTTCTGTATTATTTCCCCCTATTTCTAATTTTAAGCTCCTAGTTGGGAGGGACTAATGTATAAAAGGCTATTTTGGTAAGTGTGAAACCTATTTTGTTTGACACATATACACTTTAAATGGGAGGGATTTAATAATTCATTCACTATTCTGTTCTATAAAATTATTTTTTAGTGTTCTGTTCTTTCCTTTTAACTTTACCCCTTTCTCTGTGATGAGATACTTAAGCAATAAACACATTCTTGTCTAGGAATTGGCATTGGTGTAGCAGATAAGTGCGTATAATATTAGACTACAGAATACTTACCACAGCAGCTGGGGATGGCAGTAGGTGCACCAGCCAATGAAAGGGATTTGAGCAGGACTCCAAGAGCATCCACTAGTAAAATTAAAGGTGCCTCTGACCTTAACTTCAACAATTCATTCTTAGCTATATACCCTCAAGACCCTTGCCTGCATGTGCCCAAAGATAAATGTACGAGAGAGATCATTTCAGCATTGTTTATAATGGCAAAAAAAACTAGAAATAACCTAAATGTCCACCAGCAGGAGAATGGATAAGCAACTTGTAGTATATACTTAATATAGCAGTAAAAATAATGAACTTGAATCTATGTATCAGTATGGATAAAGCTCAAAAACATAATTTGAGTGAAAAAAAAACTTTTAGAAGAATACTGGAAAACAATGCTAAATCTTTCTGAACATGCATAAATTTCAAAAATGGCAATCAGACAGTACATACATACGTACATCATACAATATGTCACCTTTTGGGAACTGGCTTTTTCCACTCAGCGTAATTTTCTGGAGACTCGTCCGAATTGCATGTATCAGTGTTGTTGTTGTTGTTAGGTGCTGTCGAGTCGGTTCTGATTCATAGTGACCATATGCACCACAGAACAAAACACTGCCTGGTCCTGTGCCATGCTCACAGTCGTTATTATGTTTGAGCCTATTGTTGCAGCCACTGTGTCAATGCATGTCATTGAAGGTCTTCCTCTTTTTCACTGACGCTGTAATTTACCAGGCATGATGGCCTTCTCCAGGGACTGATCCCTCCTGACAACATGTCCAAAGTACATAAAACATAGTCTTGCCATCCTTGCTTCTAAGGAGCATCCTGGTTGTATGAGAGTTCTGCATACCACAGGAAGTCTTCTCAGTCATTATCTTGCCTTTGGGGGGATTTATGAACTCCCTTAAAATACATACAGACTTTTGTTTATCGTCATAATGTTCTCCTTTAAGGGGAGAGATCTTGACTTCCATCACATTCTCAAAGGAACCCAGTGACCCCCAAAAAGGTTAAGAACGCCTCCTCCAGGGGGAAAATATTACCTGGTTTATTTGTGCTGTTGCATATATATATGTATATATAGATTGTTTATTGCAGAATAGCAGTTCTAAAGTGTTTCTTTTGCTTTCGTTTGAGAACCATTTATTTCTCTTGTCATGTGGTATTTTGCAGTTACAGTATATGAACATTAATCAAGCTAAAAAGTAACAAAAGGTAAATCTGCTAAGAAGTACGTAATCTTTATATTCTTAAAATAAGTGTGATAATTCAATCACATACACGTGGTTTCTGTTCTGTCTCTCTCTCTCTCTCTGTCTCTCTGTCTCTCTGTCTCTCTGTCTCTCTCTCTGTCTCTCTCTTGGCTCTGGAGGAAGAGCCTTGTCATCAGTCTTTCCTTGGTCTGGGACCATCTCAGTGCAGAAACCTCAGGTCCAAAGGACGTGCTGTGCTCCTCGTACTGCTTTCTTGGTGGTATGAGGTCCCCATGTCTCTCTGCTTGCTTCTGTCTTTTATATCTCAAAAGAGATTGGCTTAAGACCCTATCTAGTTTTGTAGACCTTATCAGTATAACTGCCAGTAATCCATCTTACTGCATCATAGTGACAGAATATACAACATATAGGGAAATCACATCACATTACAAAATGGTAGACAATCATGTAATACTGGGAATCATGACCTAGCCAAGTTGACAGATATTTTTGGGGGGACACAGTTCAATCCATGACAATACCTGTTAAAGAAAAATTACCCATCTTTGTAGATTCGTGTCACTTTTAAAAATTCAAGGTCTTCAACATCAAAAATGGCCTTCCTGCACTTCCTATTCATTTTCTTTTCTCTCAATCTTGATAGCAAGCATTTCAAGCCTTTTAATGCTCTCTTCCTTATTCTCCCTCAGCGAATGACCTTACTTCCTATCTTCCAGAAATATAAAAAACCTGTTTGCATCTTGTTCTCCTTTCTGACACAGTGGAAGAGGTGGCCCCTTATTTTCTTCATTGAGATCCCATTCCTTTCCCCTTCTCTTCCTTCTCCTCATCCCCCGCTTAGATCCTTGCTCCATTGACTGTTTCCTTCTTCTGATTTTTTTTTAAACTCTTACGGAAAATGTCAAATCCATAAGTAAAATTAGAGAGTAGTTAAATGAACCTTCATGTATCCATTACCTAGCTTCAGCAATTAACTCAATCTTGTTTCATGTATATCCCCCTATTCAGTCTCACTACCCAAATTATTTTGAAGCAAATCTCAGAAATCTCATTTCCCTTATAAATTTTTCACTACATGTTTCTAAAAGACTTTTTAAAATAACCACGGTATCATTATTGCTACTAATTCACAGTTACTCATTAATATCGTCAGCTATCCAGTCATTATCCAAATTTTCCCAAATGTTTCTTCATTGGTTTATTTTATAGTGTGTTTGAATCCAGATCTAAATAAGGTCTGCAAATTGCAGTTGGTTGATAATGTTACTTGTCTCTTTTTTAGCTATAAAAAACCCCCCAAAAAACCAAACCCATTGCTGTTGAGTCAGTTCCAACTCATAGCAACCCTGTAAGACAGAGTAGAACTGCCCCATAGGGTTTCCAAGGAGCGCTTGTAGGTTTGTCTTTCCATCTGTTTTTCTTTTTTCCTTGTAATTTATTTGTTGAAGGAACTGGGTCATTCATTCTGTAGGGCTTTTCATAATCAGGATATTGGTGATTATTATATCCCCAAGGTGTCTTTAACATATTTCTTTGCCCTCTATACTTCTTGCAAATTGATAGTTGGAGCCAGAGGCTTGATCAGATTCAGATTTGATTTTTTTGGCAAGAATACTTCATAGCTCATGTAGTGTTTCTCCATCAGGGGATACATTATGTCCGGTTGTCTCTTTGTTATGTTAGTAGCAAATAGTGATATTAAAATTCCTCATTTCTTTCTTCATTGCTCCTTTGTCTTTTTTTCTTCGCCATCAGTGTTTAAGCACGTCCCTTCATTTGGTTGAGAAAAACAAGAACCAGAAAAACTGTGTTCTAACATTTCCGCCTACATCTCCCTTTCGCCACTCTTTCACAGCCACACTTCTTAACATATATGTTTATGGTACCATCTCTACTTCATCTCCTTATACGCATCATCCCATTTAGATCTGGTTCCTGCATGTTAAACCATGTCCCTGCCATTTTATTGAAACCGATCTCATCAACCATGCTGAAAGCAGAGGATCCTTTTCAGGCCTTATTTTGTTAGTTGGGCAACCTTTGGAAACTGTTGATTGCCTCTCCTTTTTGAAATACTCCCTTGGCTTCTGTAATGTTCTCTTTCCTTTTTTTGCATTTACCTCTTTAACTGCATCCTCTTGGCCTCAGTTGTGGACTCTTCTGCTCCCTGTCATTTAAGTGTTGATGTTTCTCTGTGTGGCTCTTGCCTAGGCCCTCAGCTCATCTTGCTCTACACATTCTCCATGGGTCGTCTCATTCATTGCCGTGACCTCACTTAACCATCTCTAAGCCAATACCTTCCAAACCTCTTTTTTCTAAGTTGGTTCTCTTCAGAGCTGACTTGTTTGAAAAATTCCTACTGGAAATCTTACAGACACCTTGGAGTCAATATATCTAAAACGGAATTAATCGTACTTTTCCTCATCCCTTCACACATAGGAGTTTTCCTATTCAACTTAATTCTAAGCCAAAAATCCAATCTGCGGGAGAAGGATCTGGCAGTCTGCTTCTATAAAGATTTACAGCCTTGGAAACCCTGCGGGGCAGTTCTGCTTTGTCCTATAGGGTTGCTATGAGTGGGAATTGACTCGATGGCAACTTTTTTTTAAAATACTTCCTGGAATCTAGTGGAAATTCTAGCCAGCTGTTTTTTGCAGTGTGATAAGAGATACTAAACTTTTATTTATTTTTTTAATAGGAGATTTAAAGAATGATTCTTTAAGAGATAATTATTTATCTCATTTTTACCTACATTTACTGTCATTCAGTTGATGACAATACCTTTTAGATATTGTATAGAAATTGATTTTATGTGGTTCAAATTATAAAAAGCTCTGAAATGCTGTTAAATAATATTATCAAAAAACTAGGTCAGAGAACAAGATTACTGTGTGAGCACAGAAAATCTGGAGTAGTCCATTCAGTTTCTTGTTTTTAAAACACATGCTTCTAAGGGACACAAAATAAATTAAAATAATATTAAATTGGTTTCTTGATTAAGTGTATTGGTTAAGAGAGCATGAGATTAAGTAGATATTTGCATTACAAATAATACCAGCTATTTAAGGTTATTGGTGGCTGACATTCAACCCTGAAGCTTACTTCAGTTATAGTTGTCACTGTTTGATTTGTGTACAGTTTATGAAATCCTTATCTGTTTTCCTTTTTTCAGGTTGTACTTTTTTTGTAAATTAGAAAATTTGATTTCTGTCTCTGTGGAAGATTTACAGTCTTCTAGAGAAGATACGTTAACTGAAGTGTAATGAAGTTGGTATCAGTGTATCTGGCATGTGACATGGTTGGGAGTGGGTAGACATTAAATTTAAAAGTAATGCTGTTTGGCTCAGTAAACTATTAAAAAATTAAATAAAATACTGTGTATTTTCACATTAATTGATTTTCAAAATGGATTGAAAATGTTATCTAATATTTGTATTAGCATCACAGTAAACCTCATCCTTGAAAGTGTGTACTATAAATAATAATTTTGAAATAATTTAAATTTTAAGTGAAATAATCTTTTTTTTCTCCCCCCTTAGGTGGAATGAACCTTACTTGTTGAATATCTCCTGGTTACTGGTTGGATTCACTTGTAAAAGGATCATTTTCCCCTGCGTGGAAGCCACTTGGTGGCATATTTAATTATAAATCCAGGGATCTCAAAGCTTTTTGATTTCCCAAAGGAGGGATATACCACTGTATCAAATAAGCGTGACATTACAGCCAAAATGGTGCTGTCCCAGAGACAACGAGATGAACTGTAAGTTACTCTGTTCTGTGCTTTAAAAAAAAAAAAAAATCCTTTCTTATAAGGGACAAAGTAGTAAATTAGAATATAGTCTTGGAAGATTAAAGCTGTCGTGTGCCGTGGAGTCAATTCTGATTCATAGCAACGCTATAGGGCAGAGTAGAGCTGCCGCGTAGGATTTCTTAGGCTGAAATCTTTACCGGAGCAGATCGCCAGGTCTTTTATCCCACGGAGCTGGTGGGTTCAAACAGCCAACCTTGCAGTTGATAGCTGAGCACTTAACTGTTGTGCCACAAAGAGCTCCTTTAAGCTATTGTTACCAGTGTTTAAATATTGGTTTGGACAGTTTGATCTGATTTTAAAACTGAATCTTACTTTGACATAGTGTTGTTTAATTTAGCCTTGTCACTTTGTGTATAAGCTTAAAGCAAAATTAACAAATAAGTGATTTAGGATAAGTTTTATACTGAGTTTGTCTTTTAGATATGTTATGTTTAATCGGAAGAGAGATGCTTTTTTTTTTTTTGGTCTGGAATCCATATGTTAGAAAAATGAAAGCTTTTTTGTTGTTGTTACTGTTAATGCCTTTCCTTTGCCTTGTATTTTTTATCTTTTATCTTCCAATGGCTATTATAGGATTTAAACTTTATGACTTGGCTAATTACGATAGTTAATGCAAATACACTAGTGAGAAAGGCGTGAAATGGCTTGCTGCTGCCGTATTATATAGCATTCCATTCTTGTAGGTGAAGATTGTGTATAAATAAAAGTAAAATTTTAATGGATTTTCTTTTGAACAGACTATAGTTAATATTACAAGTTGCAGTGGAGAGGTTTTAGATCAGCCTTATGTTTCTCTGTGCTTTTCTGTCTAGGTGTCCGTAGTGTTCACTAAAGTCTATTATTTTGCTTCCACCTTCTCTGGTAAGGAGGAGGTTTGTTAGACTGAGAAGGCTGGAATGAACCTTGGTAAGAGAATTAAAACCTAAGATGGGTAAAGAGATTTTAAGAGAATACCTGGCTACTTTAAATGAATTCAGGTCTTTTGTCCCTAATAAATTACATCTACATCCCAGATTATTGAAAGAATGAGATTTATAAGAGGAAAAGAAAGTGTATGCCAGTGAATTTGACATTAATCTTTAAATTATTCCTCTTTAAATTGTTATTGACCCAGCCTGGATTTGCAAAGAACAGGCTAGGTCAGACTATGTTTCCTTTAAGATTTAAAATTTTGTTCTTACATAAAACTATTATATACATGATAAATAGAAAAGTCATATAAAAGTATGCAAAAACATTTCTTTAATCTCTTCTTGGCTCCCAATTCTTCTCAGAGCAGTCATGATAACCTTCATTTTTTGGACTTGTTACTAATCTGGTATATAGGATGAGTGTTGTACACACAGTATGTTGGTTTTCAGAAAAGTATTTAAGAGATATCCTGTGGACAAAATGGATAAATATGGACTGAATGACAGTAATAGTACAGAAGAGTGGCTATGTCTACTGAGAAGTTTGAATCATTGGACTTTGTCTTGTTTCAAGTTTTAAAAATAATAGAGGGCACTCTTTCAGTTTTGTAAATTACATGAAGCTATAAAATATATTGAACTGAATCAGAATCCCAGATTAAATATAAATATGATATAATTTAATAAAAACAAACATTGAAATCTAGAGTTTATAAGACATGACTTAAGGATTTTAGATAGTAATAAATAATGTAAGTTGAGTTACTATAAAAGCTAATTTTTTTATAGATTCTTTTTTTTATAGTTTCTTATTTTTTAAACTAGTGTAGGATAGTGTGTAGACAAATAGACACTCAAGAATGTACTTAGGTAGGAGAGTGTTATGGATTGAATTTTGTCTCCCAAAAAGATATGTTGAAGCCCTAATCACCATACCTCTGAATGTGACCTTTTGGAATAGAGTCATTGCAGATGCAGTTAGTTAATATGATGTCATTAGGGTAGATCTTAAACTCTTTATGACTGATGTCCTTATAAGAAGTTAGCAAGTAGAAGGCCAGTATGAAGACAGACAGATGGATGATGGTCATGTAAAATGGAAGCAGAGATTAGAGTTATGCTGCCACAAACCAAGGAATGCCTGGGGCTGCCAGAAGCTGGGAGAGACAAGAAAGATCTTCCCCTAGAGCCTTCAGAGAGAACATGGTCTTGCTGACACCTTGAATTCAGACTACTAGGCTCCAGAACTGTCAGAGAATAAATTTCTGTTGTTTTAAACCATATAACCTGTTGCTGTCCATGGCAACCCCCATGTGAGTCAACACAGAACTGTGTATGTGCTCCATAGGTTTAAACCACATCTGTAACCAAAAACCTCATCTGGTGCCATCAGTCAGTTCTGACTCAGTGACCCTACAGGACAGAGTAGAAGTGCCCCAGAGGATTTCCAAGGCTGTGATCTTTACGGAGGCTGACTGCCACATCTTTCTCCTGTGGAGGCTAGTGGATTTGAACTGCCAACCTTTCGGTTAGCAGCTGAGCGCTTAACCACTGTGCCATCAAGGCTCCTTTAAACCACACAGTTTGTGGTAGTTTGTTACAGCTGCCCTAGGAGACTAGCAGAGGGTAGAATTGTAATCATCTTCTTGAAGGACATTTTCGTGCTATTTGTTTAAATTTAAAATTACTGGTGACCGCTGCTATTTTCACCTCTTGGATTGTAGCAGAAACATGTAAGTACACAATTCCTAGAAACTGGGACTAAGATCCAATGAGAGAGACTGGATTAGAACCCAGTTTCTAGATTTCCCATGTTAAATGTCACATATTAATAGACTTTGAATATACAAGTAGGACATTTAGGACTATTTGAAATTTGGTAATTAGGAAAAAATAATAAGTAATATTTTTAATGTTAGAAAATACAGAAAAAGAAAAAAAGAAAAGGATATTTCCAGATGCTACCTGTCGACAACCCAGTGTTATCGTTGTTATATAGTCCCTCCAGATTTTCCATTCTCTCAGTTGTTTTTTTATTGCTGTTTTTTGAAATTTATAATGAGATCATTTAAATCATACCACATAGTAGGTAAGAGCTTTTGGAGTCAAAGAGACTTGGGTTCTAGCACTGGCACTGTAGTTGCCTACACTAGTATGAATTTAAACAAGTCAGTTAACTTCTCAGTCTGTTTCCTCATCTGTAACATAGGGATACTTTATCGCAGAATTATGAGAATTAAATTTAACAGCGTGTAAAATGCTTGGCATGGTGCCTGGTATGAAGTAAGTACTTCATAAGTCTTGGCTGCTTTTGTTATACGTAATGTTCAGTTGTCTTTTTTTTTTTTTAAATGAAGTTTTACTGCTTATTTTCTTATTATAAAAGCAGGAAATTAATTGCAAAAATCAAAGTTATAATCCCACAATTCATAGAAATTTTTGTTTTAAAATTATTGTGTTAGAAAATTTTTTGTATATGTGTTTGCCTTTTGTTCTTTTGAAAATTGTTCATGGCATTGCTACTTTTTTTTTTCTATTGGGGTGTTTGTATTTTTTTTGTTGATTTAATTCTAAGAGGATTTTAGTTTACTGAGGATAGTTACACTTTTTCCTATGTTGCAGATAGGTTTCATTTAGTGAAATCTGTGTCTTTTCTTTGATTATTTCCTTTAGAGTCACGCTTGGAATGATCTTCACTAATCATGCTTACATAAATATATTCATTTTTATTTTTTAAGGCACTTTATGCTTTAATTTTATAATTAAGTCTAAGTCATCCGTAATTTGTTTTTGATGATTATGTGAGGAAGGGATCTAACTGCCTTTTCCCTGAGTCATTATCAACTTAACCAAACATTATTTATTGAATAGTCCTTTCTTTATTGGTTTGAAAGCATCTTCTTATAAAGACTTGCTTTGGGTTTTAGATTTGTTGTGCTTTCAGGAAACAGAAGAACAATTTTGATTATTGTAGCTTTATAATAAATTTCAACATCAGATAATAAGTTTTTTTTTTTTTTAATTGTACTTCATGTGAAGGCTTACAGAACAAATAGTTGCTCATGAAACAGTAGTATACATATTGTTTTATGACATTGGTTAACAACCCCAGAACATGTCAACCCTCTCCCTTCTCGACATTTTTTTTTTTTTTTTGGTGAAAATATACATAGCCAAAGATAC